CAGTTTTGCTCCAGAGTGAAGCTGTCTCTAGGTCTGACATCTCAAAACCGAAAAGCAGGTTTATTGCTCATGGATTATCAGAAATCATTCAAAGGGACACAGACACATTGGATTAACCTATGGATTAACTTCAGCAGCGTTTTTATCGTTTTAATGCCATTGAAGACCACTTTTTTACCAGTCTACCACACAGGTGAGCCATGTTAGCTTACAGGTGAGCCATGTTAGCGTTTCTAGCTACCTAGCGCCATATGTTTTGATGTGTGTTCTTGTTATTATCTCGGAGAGTTTGTATAATTGAGTGATAATGAGGGTACCCCTCGATTCTGTGTCCCCTCACGATGTGAAACGATGGGTTGGATGTGCAGCAAAGATAAATAATAAGGTTTTGTGAGTGAATTTCAGTGCAGTCATCTGTTAGCATTTTTCGCTCGTTGCTAATTCAGAGGCTCAGCGTTAGACACTGTTTCCTGCAAGATGTTGCAGGAGGGCCCCGGTACCGGGGTCTCTCGGGCTTAACAGGTTTTAAGACACGTTTGACCCATGTCTGTGTCTTTATGTTATCAGAGCTTGGTGTTAATCACTCGCAGACAAATGTGACTTCAGCTGTTAATTCAACTCCAGTGTTTCCCTCTTCCTGTGTCTCTCAGCTGGAGCGCGACGCGTACGTTCAGGCGCTGGCGAGGTTCACGTTGTTGACGGCCAGTTCTGGGATTTCTGAGATGAAGCAGAAGAACATCGACACCATAAAGACTCTCATCACTGTGGCTCACACCGACGGGAACTACCTGGGAAACTCCTGGCATGAGGTAGATCTTCATATCTATATATTGATATATATTTCATTTCACAGCAGCTACTCAGAGCTATTGATTCTCCTAATGCCCCCTTCTTCCACTTTTCTGTGTCTATCCCCTCACTTTTCTTCATGCCTTTCCTCTGACTCCCCTCTCAGATCATGAAGTGCATCAGTCAACTGGAGCTGGCTCAGCTGATCGGCACGGGGGTGAAAGCCAGATATATCTCCGGCACGGTGAGGAGTAAAGACGGGTTCATCACCAGCACCAAGGAGCAGAGCAACGACGAGTACCTGGGCCTGGGTCAGCAAATATATATATATGAAATACTTGTAAACATAATCTGTGGGTCAGCATGGAGCTATACATACTGTAGAGAATCAGAGCCCATGGACTCCTCCCACAGAGGGGGCAGAAAAGAGACAAAGACAGCTTCATGTTAACTAAGAAGCATGCACACACAAAAATATTGAAGATACAAATTACACAATTTACACTATTTACAAAATCCACATCCTGTAACAGTTCTGAGGACGTAGCAGCAGGTATATATTGCACAGTTATTAACGGCACATAGTGCACGTGTTGCTATAGAGCAGGTCTGGAGTCTCAGCGCGGCCCTGATTGTTTTAAAGGAGCTGTGTTGTAGTAACTAGATCTAAAATACTAAAGCGGATTTTTTCTTGGACTAAAGTACTTTTTATTTACAGTTTTTGAAGTGACTGTTATTTTGTATATATTGATTGTTGAGCTTTTATTTATGTCTTTAATGTGTGCAATGTGCATATGTACAAATGTGTCTGATTGTTTATACATATTTTTATACATATTTGTATTTTCTACTCGGGATTGTGGGAAACAATATTTCGATCTCTCTGTCTGTTCACACAAACTGAAAGATTGAAACAGTTTAACAAAAGAAGGTCGTTTCGGGGAATATACGCTTTCAGTTTCTCCCAAATGTCCTCAGATGTAAGTTCCTGGAGCCTCATAGAGGAGGTTATTCTTAGATGTAGTTCCCATACGCGGAGTCAAATATTTATATGACAATAAAGTTGACTTTGACTTTATATTTTCTAACGTTGTGCTTGATTGTGCAGTTGGAGGCACGGTGGACAGGAAGCAGATCGCCAGCATCCAGGAGTCCATCGGAGAGACGAGCTCTCAGAGCGTGGTGGTGGCTGTGGACCGGTGAGGAGGATCAATATTACATATGATCTCAATAAAGTCTGTTAGTCATGATTTAGAGCACAAACTACGGCAAGAGAGAAGGACAAGATGTCTGGACAACAAGCTAAGAGAGATCTACTCTCCTGCAAACATTACCGTTAAGGAGTTGAATTACTTAAAAAACACATATTTTAAATAAAATGCATTTGTTCTCCTTCTATTTTTTTTAGTATTTAAAATAATAACTAGATATCATTATTATTTTCTTTTGACATAAAGGTCTGGGTTTTTATTTGATATATTTAAAAAACATTTAAAGCAATATAAGAAATATCTCTTGCATGAAACGTTTTCTATAAATGGAGTTCATTCATGTTAACGTTTATTAATGATGCAACTCTTTTAAAACACATGGAAAGGCAGTTAACATGCAGTATGTGAACATGACCATGCTTTGTGTCTTTAAATCATCTTTATATACTTCTGTTCTGCAGGATATTCACCGGCTCCACCCGACTGGACGGAAACGCCATAGGTGAGTTTATTAAAAACAGATTCCTGATGCTTTTGCATCACTTTCTCCCCCC